CTATTACATTTCAGATTTCTCTTAACATTTTTCTCCTCAGTTAGAGACCAACAGTCACTGCTTCTCCCATGACCCTATTTAATTTCCTATTTTGTCTTTGCATAGTCTCCACATCTGCAAAAAAAAAAAAACTTAGATTGTTTTTCATGTGGATCAAACTGCCCTGGAAAGAAAACTTAACTCTTAAGTGAAATGACAGAGGGTCTCTTACATAGACATGCCATCTTACTCCTGTATCAAAATCCTGGGGGGTGGGAAACACACACACACACAAAAACCCCACAGTTTCTCACTTATGTCAGTCAAGGGACATACTCCAAGTACTTCAAATAACTCTTCCAGACATAGTTAAATCTGCTACCTTTTCTGTATGCATAACATTTTATGCTACTTGCACAGTAACTCTTCCCTAGATTTTGAAACTCTTTTCTCCCACACAGCTCTGCAAATGATCAGCATCTCGCATTTGATTTTTTGTAGGCTTAAGTTGGAGAATTAAATTCATTAGAAAACTCTATAGACTCCTAAGGATTTTGCACCTAGCTGAACCAGTAAGAACACATTCATTAAGACATTAAAAAGTTCTGGCAACAAAGATACCTGAATTTAAGTAAGACATTGATATATGAGTCCTTAGAGAAATATTCATTCACTGTGTACTGTGAGGAAATAAGCTGATTTAATAATGGATCCTATTTTTAATATTTTTCGTCACCTCCAATCCAATTCTATAACATGAATGGTTGAGTAGCAGGAGGGGAAATCCAAAGAGATACAAAGAAAATATTTTTTTCTTAGACCAATATAACCCTAAGAAAACAGACCAGAGTAGTACACAATTTCAACATTTGTGCACAGACAACAGGATCACAGTTTTTTAATCTCCATCTCCCACTCCAGAAGTCTCAATATAATGATTAAACGTGATGGTTTTATCCCATCTGTCTGCAAAATAGAAAATCCAGGCTTGTAGAAAGGTATGACAGTATTTTATTTTCAAAATATGTTAGTAAGTTTCCTATAACCGTGCAATTTTAGTACCCATTTCCTCCCCTTCCCTTCTCCCTGTCAAGCTGGTTAATTGTTGATCCTTTTCTCCCTGTTTTTGACATCTTACAATTGATGTTTACATGTTTACAAGATTTTACCTATAAGAACAAATAATAGCTGTAAAGTTATAGCGAAATCTCAGCTTTCACTTTGAAAGAAATAGCAGCAGTGTACCGATAGTCAACAGTGGAAAAGAAATATGAAAAGGAGTGGCTTCACTTGCAAACTATGTTTTAAATAGTCCATCATTATAAGCATTTCCATGAATTAAATAACAGTGCCAATATCCAATATTCTGAACTTAATGTAATAAATGGAGGGTGATCACATTACCCAGTTTTAAAAATTGCTTTACATAATGTAATCACTTACTCTGATTTAATTTCACTTTACATTGTTTAATAAATGAATGCTTATGATTTGACATAATTGGATAAGTAGTTTAGCTCATTCTGTGTAGTTCTTAGATAACAAAATGGGCTGCTTTTTTGTCATCTTCCAGGATGGTATTGTGAGATTTAAGAGTTGGGTTTCATTTCTCCTCTCGGCTTCTTTATTATCCAGTGTAATCCCACTCTGAGGAAAGAATTAAGGCCAGCCTTGCAAGCTGAATTTTTCAAGAAAAAATACACAGCATAACTACAAACTCCTGCTTCACTGCACAGGTGAAAAATCTTACCAGACTATAAGAGCCATAATTTCAATTATAAAGTATCTTTAAGTAATTTAACAGTATCTATGGGAGGTGGGCAGGAACTGAGTCTTCAATCACCTTCTAGCAAAGCCCAGATCTTTCTACTTTGTATCTGTGAAACACAATTTAATTTTAAACTGAAAAGACAATAGACTTTATGAAGGACAACTTGTAATTCCAGAATCTCAATTATGTTCTGCTCAGAGTTGAAATAAGCCATCATTCACAGTAAAGGAGGGGGGGGAAAAAAAGAAAATAAAAAAAAGACAAGACAACTCCTTTGAGTAAAAAGGACAGAAAGAAGGAAAGACAGAAAGAGACAGACAGAAAGATCAACTGGCACATGGAAAAAGCAAAGAAGAAATAGTATAATTTCAACATGTTCACCACGTGGAAAGGTGAAGGAGTCAGAAAGCAGCAATCAATTTCAAAATGACCATTTGTAAAGCTGCAGCTAGTGCTCACTGCCAAGTCTGGTGCTTCAGCACAAGAGAGTCATACTGGAAAGAGGTTGTTAAATGGCTGCAATGATGACTTTTACTTTTCAGCATTAATTTTGCCTTTCTGACTGTTGTCTTCTAAGATGAAAGACATCAGAGCAAAATCGCCAATTCACATATGGAATACATGGATTTCACTGTATTCTGCAAAAGATTAATCACAGAATATATTTCCAGCTTTGCACTGGATATCAGTTTCTCCCCTTCAAATCCAAAGCATCACAATTTTCAGAAATGTTGACTCTAAGTCATCTTCTGCCTGTCTATACAGCTGCTTATTTTTACAGATTATGAAAAGCATCTGGAGATTCTTTCAGAAAGAAAGATGCAATATATAGATTGCAGTAATACTCAAGGATTTGTGCATCTTGTAACACAGAAATACACCACAGTTGCTTAAAAATAACACCATTTTTATTTCAAAAGAAGTTACTCCTGTCCAGAAGTAACTCTTCAGAATCAAACTGCCTAAATCAACACAAGCAGAAGAGTAATAAATCTGTTATTTTGTCTAGCAACTCTCTCCTAACAACCATTTCTATCTGTAATAGACCTGTCTCCTGCATCCTCACACTCTCCTCTTTGTTTTTACCAGGTTTAAGATCTGATCTTCCAGAGGCACCTCTAGCATGCAGAGTTAAAAAAATAATACCTTAAAGTAATTCCTTATACTTAACTCAGATTTTTTTGTTTGTTTAATATTAAACATACATTTTTCTTAGTACAGTAAGAGTAGAGGAAGCTATGCACAACCTGGACTTTTAAAAGACTGAAGAGTAGATGAAAACATCCACATTAGTAATTCTTTTTAACGACTTCTTTCCCTTCCACTTAGTAGCGAAAAATATGGGCATTCCCCTTTAAGATATTCTCGCTCAGAAACTGTGAAGGAAGCTGTAAGGGATAAGAATTGATCTGAGAAGAAAAATATCCTCCTTCAGAAAGGCAAGTGGTAAAAAGGCATTGCATCCACTCTACTCTTAGACCTTTCTTTCTTCAACAAACTCAATTTCTTCCTGGGTCAGTTACTGCCATTTCAGTTTCATTGCGTCTTTGTAGCATCATAGCAATAACTTCACATCACAAAACATTTATGTGCCAGGGTACCACAAACCCATAAAGACCCAATTGCAGTGCTTAACTAGATGAATTTTATTCAATGCCACATGCATCCCATCAAGCAAACCAAAAGAAATGTTCTCTTCTATTATGTTACTCAAAGACACAGCTGTTTTCTTTTTTTGCTTTGGAACACTTCTTTTTGAGGAAGAATTACCCACTCCTAATGAATTAGTTCTTTTTCTTTATCTAAATCAAGGTCTTTATTTTGTTATGAAGTAGTTCTGCAGTACTTTTCATGTTTGATTTCCACATAGTTTTTAATAAGCCTGCAAGAGCTGACCCATGTCCTCCAATTCTTTGCCTCCATGAAAATCAGTATCTGGTGATCTGAGGTCTGACATCTGTCATAAAGTACCTGACATTTGGTAGAAAATCTAAAACAATAATGATTTAGTTGATGAAGTAATAACTTCAAGTGCTAAGGGAATTGCCGAGTCCAGTGTTTTTTGTGACCCAAGTGGTTTCCTTGTTCTCAGTCTGGTAAAGCCTAATGTGGTACACTTGTAGGTCCTGGAGATTCTCTACATACACTTACCAAAGGATGCAGCTGCTGCAGTTCTCATTCGCAGGTCAGTAGTGAGGCTGAGAGCATTTCCCAAACAGACACATATGTACAAGCATGAACAACTATGCACTGTGCAATCCAACAGAGGCAGAGCAGAGTCTTTACCAGCACCTTCCTAAACACCAACAGTACTGACATAATAAAGAAAATGGATAGCCCATACACTGACTTAGTCTCAGCACGTGCAGACTGGAGTGAGACCCACAGCAAATAGTTAAGAAGGGAATCTAGTAAGAGTAGGGCAGACAGAGCTTAAGAAAAAGCAACGTATTGCTGTCGTCATTCAAGCATGAATATGACCCCACACACCTTTTCTAGAAAGGAGAATTGACTCATTCCTTGCTTTGACATGAAATAAATAAGTACAGATGGACTTTCTTATTCCTCTTTAATTTGGGAATTGTTCCTGTGCAACTCCTCACATAACAATGTCTCCTGCTGTATATCATCTTATTAGTTACTCTGCTGCTGTTAAATGTATCTTCTCTATTTAGATTGCACCCTCATACCACTTCTAAAATTGATATTTATTTTCACTGAAGAATACATTAGTTTTTAAACCCATGCTTGAAGAAGAAAAAAAAAGTCTTAGACTTTAGATAAAGGGCTTCTTTTAGAAAACCAAAGTGTTAAATACAAGTTTGAAGGTAAAGGAATCTACTCTTTAATTACTCTTCAAGATTCTAGTACAGTTAATATTTCTTCCAGAAGTTCAGGTCATGACCTTGCAACATGCTCCCCCGAGCAAGACATACCTTTACCTACTGCGTCCCCCACACTCACATACAATAGTTTCATGTTTGCACATGCTGAAGACCCTCCCCTCCCTGCTATGACTCCAGCAATGAAGTTATTCAGACCCAGGATGCTTATCAAACAACAACTGGGGGAAAGCTGATATAATATTGTAACATTGAAGAAAAAGAACATCCGGCAGCGATCAATTAGTTTGACTTACAAGCAAATATATTTTGGGAAAAAAAAAAGTTTTCTTCCAGTGCAACTGCAAAGTGGTACAAAACCAAGGAAACATACAGCAGGTTCAGCAACGCTACCAGTGTCTGCAAGCCTATACAAAGGTAGATGACTCTAGAATTCGGAGGTCACAGAGAGGCTGTTTCCTCATGAGGATGCCATTGCTGACACCAGCCAACAGCTCTAAGACACTTAGCACAACACAGCACCAAAACATGTAGAGCATGACAAAACGCAACTGGTCTTCCAGCTTCTTTAGACAACCTTCCTGAAAAAGCTGCTCCAGATGGTCTAAGTCACCCCTGCAGTGAGAATACATCTCCTTACAGCAACTTTCAGGGACACGAGAATCTTCAGCAGGCAGATGCTGAGAAACAGCTGTTGCCTTTAGCCAGTCTGTATAGTTTTGGACCCCACAACACTGCAGCTTCTTCTGCACCACATCCACAGCCCTGCTACCAGGACCCTGGGAGGGTGCCCCATTGTACTGATAGAAGAGGTGACCCATAGTGCTTTTCAGCTCAGAAGCCATCCAAATAGAGTAGGAATGTGACAGAACTGCCAAAGACATTCCTAGGCAAAGAAGGACCACCAACAAGTACATGAGAGCCCCTTGCTTATAGCGGGGGCTGTTAGCAGAACTAGAGACAGCCAAAACTCCAGCAGGTAGCAAGATAAGCGCAGCTGCAACAGCCAAACAGCCAGGCAGAAACAAGAAAGACTCCTGAAATAAATATCTGTAGTTCTTGTACATCAGGATCACAGAAACTCCACCAAAGGCCAGAGCTGCAGCAGTGCCCCAGAAGATGAAGCCTAGGAACCTCAGCAGTGGTTGAGCAAAAAGCCTGAGCCAGGAATCCTCATAGCACCACAAAGATGACTGCAACATCATCGCTGCTGCCACTGCTCTAACTCCCCTCATTCTACTCACTCCTAGCAGTCCAAAGCCTCACCACCACTATTTAAGAGGCCTCCACCCCACTTACCCAGGTGCAGCAGATGACATCTCCACCCAAAACCAACTTGCAAGGGAGCAGCACTCATGAGACTCCCCCAGCACAACTAAGTCCTGCATCAGCTTAACCACATGCTGCTGCTTGTTCAATGTAGCCTGCAGAAACCAGGAGGGTATGTGACAAGCTTGCTGTTGAGAGGTCATTTACTCAGCTGTACTTGGAGGTATTTGCATTTGAAGGAGGAAGACAGCTGGGAAAAGGCTGCACCCCTTGCTTTACTACATTAATGTGTTAAAGAAAGCTAAACGTAGAGAAATAGTCAAATAGTAGACAGCAGTGCTAGTTCAGATCATTTAGATTGCCCAGGCGAAAGAAGTACTCCACCTATCAATCCTACAGCAGTAGCCAAGATGGCAACAAATGCGCAAGTCTGAGTCATTAACAAAGGAATAGTTTAAGAGTTATTCAATCAGGGATCTCCATAGGTAACACTCACCTAGACTCATCCTTCCCAGTACATTCACCGCTCATTAGATTTTTATAAGGGGCATAATGATGTTAATAATATTTTGCCCATTTTTACTCAGCAAGATTTCTGTGCAGATAGCTTCAATTACTCAAGACACCTGAATGAGAAATCCCTACAATTTCACACTTGTAGCCCCCAGTTTGCATCACCAGTGATTTGACTGAGTGCTGTAATGACTGAGTACAAGCATCAATAAGAAGGTATTAACTTTTCCTTATGTGTAAACAAACTGAATTACACACCAGCTAAATGACTTCACAACAATCCCAAAGGGAATTGACGCCACTTATCAATCAGCAGAAGTGCATTATTATTCAAACATGTGATACAGAACAGTCAAGCAGGATGGGAAACCTGCATAAAACTTGCCACAGGTGCCAAGAGGGCGGATCCCAAGTCCAATACTGATTCCCTAATTATCCTGATGAAGTCCTGTAAGATTTCTTCTGATTTTCAAGATTCAGAGCAGGGCTAATACAACAGGCATACATAAGGGGGAATATGGAGAAATGATCCTAATTTTCAGAAACATGAGCACCTGCAGGCCCTGTGGAAAATCAGAGTAAGTGGTTCTCAGACCCCTGGAACTCTAAAAAAGTCTCAGCAAAGCCAATGATCCTGCATCTGTCAGACATTTTACAAGGACCTATTGCTGTTATACACACTATGCACACACAGATGTTGGGCTGATTCCCATCAAAATGTCTTTCTATGAGCTGTACAAACATGTCATTAAGGCTAATTATTTTGGAATGAGATAAATTGCTTTTATTATTTTTAATCTTGCCATTAACAGTAATTAACATGCAGTGATTAACTTGTTAAATCTAAACCAAATGTTTCTTTCAAAGCTATTCTAGGATGTGTGTTTTCGTGCAACTGTTCTCTGAAGTCTGTGTCTGTCCTGTCTCCTGTTCAGCTTGCTGCTACCCCCAGCCCTCCAGCTGTGCTGGTTTTGCTGCCATTCAGTTGTTCACTTGAATGTATTTTTCTCTGATTTCTACGTTCTGCATCAGGGAGAAGAAGAAGGAGGGAAACAGAAAGGATTTCCCCTCACATCTATACACACAGATAAACTACACTGATTTAATGTTTCCAAGATGCAGAAGAAACATATCAGAAAAGTCTGAGGAAAAATATCAGAAAAGTCTGAAGGAACATCAGAAACATACCAGAAAACACTGAGGGGTAACAGCTGCTTATTGCTCGTTTGCAAGCTTCGTGAAAAAAGCACCTTTCTGCCTTCCCCCATGTTTATGAAGCTGAATGAGATATTAAGAAATGAGTTACAACACTATTTACTTTTAGCTTATTCTGCAGTCTCTGAAATACATCAGAAAGGCTCAAATTGCTTACAGGAGAATTTTACTGAAATTTACTGAACTGAAATTGTTCGTTTCAGCCAGGGTAACTGTATCTTTCTAAATATTCCCCAAATACAATAACTTCCCATTTACTTGTGTCTGACTCTTTGGACCGCTGTGAGTTTTTTTCTATTTCTTTCATATGGCTGTTGGACAGGGATGGGGGTGGAGGGAGAGAGAGAGGGCTGAAGCAGCTTTTGTAAGTGAAGGGTTTGGGCTGCTGTGGGCTCTCATCCTTCCACTGGTGCCTTTGTGCTGGCTTAGCCCCCCACAGAGAGCCCGCAGGAGCAGCGAGCCATCGGCACACAGCCTCCTCCCGAAGTCAGGACTTTCGTGGCCGTGCAAGCAGACAGGAGAACCCACACGTCTGCCTATCCACCAGGGGAATTGGAAGTACCAACATTAAACGTTGACTGTGAGCCAGTTCCCATATAAGAGCTCTCAGTAACTAGTGCCTTCTGGGGAGATGGAGCATACTCGGCACCATGCAAAAGGAAATTGCTGCAGTGGTTATGGATATTGGCAGGGCTCTTTAAAACCCCTCACCCCCTTTCAGCTAGACAATGCATACTCAGGAAAAGAGATCTTCTGCTTAAAATATTTGCTGCCTACAAGACAGGCAAGGCAAAGGACAAGAAAAACAGAGAACTGATCTCTGAAGTACCCAAGAGACGTAACTGGCACCCTCAACAGCACTGCATTTGTGCTAAGTAATTTTACATGTGTGTGCAGATGAAAGCTTGAAAAAAGCAATGAGTGGAGGTGTCCACCAAGAAACTGTAGTGTGACAAAGATAGCATAGCCAAGGCAGAATAGGAATGCTCCTCTGTTTTCTTTCCAGTGGTAAACAGCATAACATGATAAATGCCGTCCCTGCTTTCTCTGGCGTTGTTTCTGCTTATGAACTGATGAGCATTGAAATTCAAAAGTGGGTGTAGCAGATAATACATCTTAGATAAACTACTTTTTGGAATGTTGCTGAAAGTATAATCCTTCAAGTTAATAAAATGCAGGCTGTGTATTTTCTGCATTCATTGTTCTAGCAAGCTATGACTGATGTTGAATGGCTCTGATATGTCAGAAAGGTCAAAGAGATTCGTTCCACATGGGTCCGGAGGTGGGACCAAAGACCTGTCAAGTCAACATTGTGGTTGTGCAAATGCAACATAGGCGGATGACTAGATTCATTTTAAATTACATGGGTTGCCATACAGATTGATCAGGGAGCATATCTGAGTTCTTGCTGTAACGGACAACAATTCAAATCAAGATGACCAGCTAGTCCATTCAGTCTTCTGTGAATGAGAAGAAACCAAGAGGTGACAATGGGATTAGGGCATAGCTGTACAAGCCCATCTTCTAAGTTTAATACAAACCTCATATAAAATAAGACAAGATGTCAAAGCCAGACCTTCAGCCACTGCATTCATTGTGACAGTGACACAGAAGAGCCCTAAGGCTGCCTCAGAGGAACAGCTGGCATTTCCCCTGTAACTAATGCACACATGAAGCTACTGTAGCTGGACCTTGTAGGTGAAGTTAAAGCACTCTGGAAGAGATTTGGCTTGAGAGTTTAGAATATTTGGTCTTGGTATATTAAAGCACACCCATATCACAGAATATGATTTAAAACCTTGCTAAAACACAGAGGTTTTTATCAGTTTCATCGACCCTAGCTCTTACATTAAGCTTCCCCCCACCCCACTCATCTTCCTGATCCCTTCAGCAGGTGGAAGCTGCTGTGTTACCCAGCAGAGTTGGCAGATCCAGAAAAAGTGGTGAAAGAGTATCGTTGATATCACTCCTCCCTTTACTGATCCTGACCTTGTCTGCTAGCCCTGGCAGTATATCTTTCCCAAGCTGAAGAGACTTCACATCCAGTTTTTCCAGTTTCCAAGGAAAGCCCTGGCTGAATGTAAAGTGATGGCAAATAAATAACAATAAAAAGGGGGG